GGGGGGGGGTGAAGCTTAGTTAGTTTAGCAAAAAAAGCAAGCAGGGTGCTTGGGGAGGAGTACTGTGTGAGAGGAGTGCATGTTGGGAGGGGGGATGTGAGAGGTGCGTTCGTGGGGAGGGGTGAAGCTTAGTTAGTTTTAGTTTACAAAAGAAGCAAGCAGGGTCAGCCTAGGGAGGAGTGTGTGCTGTGTGAGATGAGTACATGTTCGGAGGGAGGATGTGAGAGGTGATACAACGCTTGCGTGCTATATACTATATAAAGGCGCATCTAAGGATATTGATCATTCATCGAAGTGAGGATAGTGTTCTTCTGTTTGCAGGGCAGGTGAGTTCATGATTGTCTGCGCTTTACTTCTGCGAATTGCATGCTCTCTCTCTCTCTCTCTCTCTCTCGCTCTCTCTCTCTCTCTCTCTCTCTCTCTCTCTTTTTCATCGCCGTGTTTCTCGTCTGTCTTGTGTAGGTCCGCCTTTCTTTTGTGTTTGTTGTTCTGTCTTTCTGCAATAACAGAGGGAAATCTGAGTTCTGCTAATTGCTTTCTCTCTCTCTCTCTTTCTCTCTCTCTCTTTCTCTCTCTCTCTCTCTCTCCTCTTCTTCCTTTCTTTTTCTCCATCCTTTTCATTCCTTCTTTCTCTCCTTCTCTCCACCTGATCCGCTATACGTCTTCGCACGCCGATGATGAGGAAAAGGCCGGGGGGGGGGGGGAGGTGAGTGATATGTGGTGGTCGTTAGGTAGTCGTAACGAAATCGTTGTAGTGCTGTCATCTTCATTCGAGCAGAATGGCCGGTCATTCCTTCTTTCGAGAAAATCATTAGACTTGCATGCTGCGTTTTTTGTCTTTTTGTGGACCTTTCCCCGCTCTTAGATGCATCCTTTTCTGTGAAAAGAAACAAGTGGATCTGACTACTTTTTTGGGGAAGATGTGTTACTGTTTTTTTCGTTTCGACGGTGTTGTGGTGAGTCTCTCGCCATCAGCCATTTTGATGTGTGATGCAGCAGAACGGACCGAAATCCTTATCGCAGTTTTCCTCGTTCCTTCTCCTCCGCCTCTTCCTCCTCTTCCTCCTCCTTCTTCGCTTCCTTCCCCCCATGCTTCATCTTCTGTCTTCTCATTACCTCTTTTCCTCCTTGTCCTCCTCCCTCCTCCTCGCTCCTTCCCCTTCTTCTCCGTCTCCTTGTTCTTTTTCTTCTTTGTTGTTCCTTCATGCTATCAGTACAATCGTCATTGCTCTCATTACTGTCATCGTTTCCCTGTTGGTTTTTCTTTTTTTTTTCGGCGGAGAGTGAAGCCGTTGTTCCTAGAATGTCTACCCTCTCCTTTTTTTTTTTTTTTTGGGTTACTCTCATCCTTGTACTGCTAGTGTCACAGCGTGTGTGGAATTTGGGGACCCTTGCAGTATTGCACATTTGATGGCCGCGGTGGTGTAATCGTCCGTAGGCACATAAGATCGCGACGGTGTTGACGCGGACCTGTTGACATCGGTCGGGTTAAGAAGATCAAGATCTGGGTACGATCGGATAAGATCGGGACGTTGTTGCATAAGTTAGTTGGAAGGTGGGGAGTCCGGCGAGCGTGATCTCGCTTCCCTTGGTTACTAGGAATAGAAAGAAGAAAGGGGAGGAGGTGGAGGGAGAGGGAGAGAAGGAAGGAAGGAAAGAGAGGTAGAGGAGAGGGAAAAAAAAGGAGGGTTGGGGGGGTTTGGAATCATCGAGGGCGTAGACTGTTTGCCTGTCGATAGTCAATCAGCGTCACAGTGATGGCGGCAGCGATGGCGATGGCGGCGGGCTCACGGCAGGCGGTCAGGGTACATCTTTCTTCGATTCTTGCACTTAAAGAATAGTATGACAGTTCTCCGGTGTTATTGTTGACGAAGCCGGTTTTTTTTTTTTTTTTTTTTTTCCGCTTGCGTTTTCTTGGGATGTTCCTGTTGCATGTTGAGCACTGTGAGTGAGAGCTGCTTCATCCCCTTTTTTTTTTCCCCTTCCATGGAAGCGTCATGTTTATCGAGTCTTTTCTTCGGCTCACGTAACATAATGCACCCTGATAGTGAATGCATGCGAGTTATATTTTGGGTCAGGTACACCCAAAATGAAGGTACGTTGTGTTGGAGGGAACACGGTAGGAGGATGGCGATGCTATCGACACGTGTCATGTTCCCATTGGTGCGTGGATAGAAGATCAGCCGCTGGATTCTTTACGAAGATCGACTACTAGTTCATATTTCGTTGATTAGTTGCTATGGTAATTCTTGTTGATCAACGGAGTCAGTGACTGCCTGCTTGATTGATTGACTGATTGATTACTAGGTTGATTGCTTGCAAGCTTGCTTGGTTGCTTGGTTACTTGATCCATCAACGCAGGCAGCGATTGCTACTTGCTTGTTGGATAGCTACATTACTCAGTTGATTACTTGTAAGCTTGATTGGTTGCTTGATCAATCAACGAAGGCATTGATTGTTTGCTTGCTTGATCGATTGCTAGGTTGATCGGTTGATTACTTGCAAGCTTGATTGGTTGCTTGATCGATCAACGAAGAGAGTGATTGCTTGCTTGCTTGATTGCTAGGTTGATTGGTTGATTACTGTTTGATTTGGTCAATCGATTGTCTGATTGATTTGCATACTCGATCGGTTGGTTGGTTGGTCCACTAGATTGATTTGAAACCGATCTACTCATCGAGTGGATGAGATGATTGATCGTTCGAACATGTGGGTGCTTGCTTGATTGGTGAATCCAATCCCATCGATTGATCGATAGGCAATCCGATTCATCATTTGTAAGATCGATCGTCTGTTTTTTTTCTTTTTCGTTTCTTTCGATCGATATAAATGATCGATCACCTGTTTTTTTCCTTCTTCTCTTATTTCGATCGATATATCGTCGTGAGTAGTTAAGGTAGAGCCGGTCGTGAATTACGATACTCCTCGAAAACTCAGGGCCTGATTATTGCAGTCATGCCCCCCGCCCCCCCCCCCTGCGGCTATCGGATCGTGAATCGGACGAACTGAGAAGCTTTCCATTGTACTGCTCGCCGGAAGAGGTGGGGCAACCATCGTTTGGGATGAGCAAGGCATTGTCGTGGCCACACCGTGAAAAATCGAAATGGGGTTCATTTGTAAGATCGATCGTCTGTTTTTTTCTTTTTCGTTTCTTTCGATCGATATAAATGATCGATCGCCTGTTTTTTCCCTTCTTTTTTTCTTTCGATCGATATATCGTCGTGAGTAGTTAAGGTAGAGCCGGTCGTAAATCACGATACTTCTCGAAAACTCGGGGCCTGATTATTGCAGTCMYSCCCCCCCCCYCCCCCCSCTGCGGCTATCGGATCGTSAATCGGACGAACYGAGAAGCTTTYCATTGTACTGCTCGCAGGAAGAGGTGGGGCAACCATCGTTTGGGATGAGCAAGGCATTGTCGTGGCCACACCGTGAAAAATCGAAATGGGGTTTTCCCTAAATGTAGGAATGAGGCCAGGGGCGTCACAATTCGACCCGGGGTTATCCCCTGGAGCAAGATCCCACTAGCACCGGGGACTGGATTAAGATCGTGAATTTGGGCGTGTTTTAGGTAGAGATGCAGAGAAGGATTTCAATCTCGATTTTCTGCACTTGTCCACAAACGCGGCCAAATTAAGGCGTTCAATCCAGTCTTCTTTGCTACAGGGGCCTTCCCCCTGGCAACATTAGCCAACCAGCTTTTTTTTTTTTTTTTTTTTTTTGGCCAGCCAGATTGGCTTACGAGCTCGACTAAAGACCGAATTACTATTCCTTTTTATTAGAACAGTGATAGAAATTCAAAAAATTCAATTTTTGGTTGTTCACTGAGCGACTCTTTCTATAGGGAAGGGGCTCCTTCTGATGAAGCAAGGTTAGAGGCCCTAATTGGTGGACCCTAACTAGCTACTATGATTCTGTTCCTATTTCTTTGTTGCTTTGGACGCTGGGTCACAATTGAAAGTTGTTAGGGGGAAAAAAACGAAAAAAAAAAAGGTTGCGTAGACCTTCGGGACATCCATTAAAATGGGAAGGATGGATGGGACGTCCGTTGCAATTGGAACAATAGTGTTTTTTTTTTTTTCTTTTAGGAAAACCGTTACAATTGGCACCATAGAAGTTTTTTGTTTTTTTTTACCGTCACAATTGGAACTATAGAATTTTTTTTTCTTTTACCGTTACAATTGGAACGATAGAAGTTTTTTTCTTTTTTGAGGGGAAAGGTTAGCATGGTCCCTAACTCCCTGTGCCAGGATGACACGCGTAGACCTTGGAAAAATTGTCCAAATAAAAAGTAAAAAAAAAGAAAAAGAGGAAAAGAGGAAACTGCAAGGCTAAAGTCGATCAGGTACGAAAGAACTAGCCGGAAAAGGAGGTGGGAGCTCGTGATGTCAGGACCGCAGTAGTGTATGCATGCAACTGGCAAGCAAACGTATCATGACCACATTCGTGGCCAGATTCACTCACAATTATGGTTAGTACAAGTGACATATGCTCAACATCCTGAACTATACGATTGAATAAACCCGTGTTTCCGGTCGGTTACACGAACCAACATCCCAATGCACTACCAGCCATGTGGATGAACCCCCATTAACTCATTTGTAGCTACTGATCGGAAAAGAATAATAAATTAATAGTACATAAAATGGTCTTAAATTATGCGCTAGCAACTGTGAAATGTAAAGCGAGGGGAAATAAACAACAAAGATCGTTAATTAATTAAAAAAAAAAACGGAGAAACGGAAAAGAGCACTGTGTGCGCCTTCCATCTACTTCCCCCACGTGTACAGGTGTTGCAGCCAACGCGCAGACCGAGCCTATACAGGAGGCTAACG